TTCCAAATTTATTTTTGAATTAATTATCATTAATTTTAATGGTTTTAATTAACCCAATTCATAGTTATAACATTTAGTTTACTATGAGTTTTCCAGTATATTAGATATTATACTTTGTGCTTATGGATTTTCTTTACTTTTATTAGGTAATTAAATTTATTAATTCCACTCTTCTATCATTTCCCTTTGATTTAACTAATTGAATTAGGCTAGAAAGGTTAAATTCATGTGAAGTCCTAAGTTGTCCCCTTAACCTGAATTGAATCAAGCTTTTTTTAACTTTTTGTTAATTAATCTTTTTTTATCACTTAATTAATTTCTTATGCTTACATTTCATTTCTCTTACACAAAACTCCCCAATCATAATTAGGACTCTTGCATTGCATAATAGAATTTAGGTGTTAGACATTAGCATCAGTATCCGTTCAGATAATTTTGGTGGCATAAATTGCATTTTTTCATTTGTATTTTAGTGTACGAATCTAGCATTTAGGTTTAAATCTTTTTGTATTAGTATTTAAATACCTAAAAAATTTAAGATAACCCCTAAATTGCTCCTTGAAAAGAATAACCTAGGGTTAACCTATAAGTTAATTTTAATTTAATTGAGTGCTGATACTACTTAGGCAATCATTAGACTAACCAATGATAATTTAGTAAAATTAATGAAATTAATGTGGCATGTGGTTAGAAAGGCTTAATAAGTGCTTTCAGTTGTGGTTTCAGTTATAAAATTGGGTTAAAAATAAGGTTAGGTCACTTGGACATTAAAAAAAGAAAAGAACAAAGAGAAATCTCTGCGCTACATGTGGTGGCACGTGAGTCATGTGCCATAGCGCATTTGGCCAAAAAACGTAAAACAACCTCCTCTGTACCATGTGTCATGATGTGTGTGGTGTGTGCTGCAGTGTATGGTCTTGTTTCTGCAGAAATAATGAGTGAAACAAAAGGAAGAAATCAAAAGGGAAAGAAAGAGAAAATAAAGAGCATTGGAAGAGCTCTGCTAGGGTTTCAATTCTAAGGGGATTATAAGTGTTTCTTATAACGTCTCCTAATATCCGTCTAACATTAAAAAGGGTTAACTCAATCATCACATGCACAAACCAAACTGTACTTAAAAAAATTATTTGAAAAGCTTGAGACCTAAGACTTATTTCACAAAACATGTAAAATCATTTGAAATCCAATCCATAATAATCATTGCATAGCGGAAGGCTAATGCTTACATTCACACATTCAATACAAGTCTTTAAAACAAAGAAACAGGGTTAGAAATTGGGCCATGTGCCACTGCATGCACCATATGTGTCGCAACGTGACACAAAATGAGCCGCAGCACACATGACAAAATTTCTACTATTAAAAACTAGTTCACATAAGCAAACTTTTGGCATGTGCTGTTTTCACATACGACATTAAATTGGAGTGATTAAAGCGTTCACATGAAGCTTATTTCATAAGCTAACTAATGAGATAAATTTAGACATGATCTAACAATTCGATTGGAATTTGGACACTCAGGTGCAAAAAATTAAATATTCAACTCAACCATTTTTCTTATAAGGAGCAGACTTAAATACTTACAACTTATCATTATATACTTAACATACTTTTATCTAGTCAAATCAAAACAAATGAATTTGAAAGTGTCAATAATAAGAATTTATTATAAAATAAACAATATATAAAAATTAACATTTTGAATTAATGGGAAGCAAGTGCCTTAAATATACACTCCCCCCGTTTAAAAATATAAAATATTTTTAATCGAATTTCATTCTCAATAAAGTAGTTGGCTACTTTCAAACTAACCTTATCTTTCTATATTTAACCCTATTAAACATCCTACAATATAGAAAAAGTCATTATTAATATGGAGACTTTTGAAAAAAAGGTAATGGTTACACATCAAAAAATAAAAAATACCTTACATTTTTTAATATTCAACTTCTTAAAAAATGTCTTACATTTTTAAATGGAGGGAGTAATTTTTTTTTAATAAATCCAACTATGATTAAGCGTCAATTGGTATCATCGCACGCCACTTATTAATCAAGGGACAGGAAAAAAATATTGCAACTTAAATAGGATTCCTGCACCAGATGGGAGTCCTAATTGTTGCTTTAATTACTATTCCTAATTGTGGAATTTACTTTAGTTGTTTCACGTTTGTACAATATTGTTTAATATTTCAATATTATTTACCAACAAGAGCTAAATTTAATGAAAGATGTTAGTTTCTTATAATGTTATGAACTGATATTTAAATTTTTGAGAAGGTAGGTGCTCATACTTAGTATTTGCTTATTTTTAAGGTAAAATTATCTCTAATAAAAAAATGCAAGTACTATACAAATAAGGTTCCATGCATGCAATCATCTCTATGTATGTTTGCAATCCATCTCCCATCGAAAATTTTTAAATCTAATTATGATTAAATAGATGTTTTAAAACCTAAATGTCATTTTTCTTTCTTCCTTTTTACTTTTTACCAGAAAGAGAATTCTGTTACACAATGAAAAAACATAAAATATCAATTTTCAATATATTATGCATTGGATATTTGGATCTTTAAATAATATTATATACCTCATACTTTATATAATTCATGAAAAATGTTTCCAATTATTACCAAAAGATGATTTTTTTATATTAATTCCAATAATTAAATTTAATATTAATTATCATGTTACGAATTTTTAATGTAATTTTTAAATTTGGATCTTTAAATGTCACTTTTTCTGAAAATGCAATATTGTAAAAAAGGTCGAGATTCAAAATAGGGGATCTTAATGTAATAAATCTTTCTTTTTAATAAAATATAAAGTATGTTATATTTAATATAATCCTCTCATTGATCAAAATAATTTTTACCAACGAGCATAAGAGGTACTTTTATTTATAAAATTGTTTTTTAATTTGTTGTCTTTGTCATTTAATCCTACTAAATATTTTAGGGAGCAAGAGAGCAAATTGTTTCCATATGACAAAAGTTGAATGCTTATATGACAAATGGCTTGTATGCAGAAAATAATTAATAGCCAGAAGGAATGAATTCTCGTAAGGAAATCTCCAATCTTGGTATCACTCTTATAATGGGAAAATCATTTACTATAATCCCAATCTCGTTCCTTTCCAATCCAACCAGACACGGAATAAACCTCTCAACTTTACATTCAAAATTCCAGAAAAATAAACAAACAAGGGTCTCACTTTTTTGTGTTGATGTCATGCGATTTTCTTGGCCGCCAAACAGAAATAGCATGTCTCGGATCAAACGGCAGCATATGAATCATTAAAAAGAAAAAGAAAAAAAAAAAAAACCTATGAAGGGCATGTATCAGACGTGACACAGAAGTGACACGCAACGTTTGGGTTTGGAAAACTGGCTGTTTGGTGTACAAGTTAAGGATATTAATTAGATTGAACCGTCCATTTATTGTTACTCAAATTCATTTTTACTGATTCTCATTGAAGAGAAATTCATCGGCATTTTGTCTGTCCCGGTTTTCGACTGGCCATCCATGAACAGCCAGAGCTAGCTTGAGGTAATTTTTAAACAAACACTACTCTGTTCTTGACTCTCTCTGTTTGCTCTTTTTCACTTCCAGGACCTGCTTATAGATCACTCCATTGAATATCTAGTAGCGGAGAGGACGGTCTAAAAACCGAAGTCTACTGATTTGAGATTTCATTTCGTACAAGATTCTGAATCATATAAAAATGTAACACCAATCGAAATCGAACGATGATGGGAATTAGGAAATATGAGAGTCAATCTTCTCATCTCTGTCTCTGCTCTGTGTATATTGTTGAGACAGGTGTTAGGCTAGATTACATAAAACTCTTTCGAGCCAGATGTAAATAATTGTCCTTCTTTTGAAAACTTGACGAATAACTCCGTTAGCAGATAAGGGCTTCTGGAATCACGGGGATTTCATGGGTGGCGAAGGATCAAGGAGTCAAAAGCACAAGAGCAATAAGGGTTTTGTGGTAAGGGAGGTTCCAATACAGCGAATGAAGATTAATAATGATGCAGAATGGAGCAAGGGGAAGAGCTTTGCTGAGATGGAGAAAGCGATGATGATGGACTATGACGCACCAGAGTTGGTAGTATTCCTTCAAGAGGACCGAGGAGCGTCAGCAAAAGACGAATGTGTGATGGAAGATTGTGAATCCTACGAAGAAGCGGCAGAGACAACGTGTTCTTCCTCTGTTTCAAAAGGGTCAGACTCTGCATGTCGGAATCCTCGCATTGTAAAGGATTCGACCAACAAGTGTGGTTTCGGAAACCACCCCACTGAGGTGACACATTTTTACCTAATCCTCTGTTTCATGGTGTTGGACATTCATGCGTGAAGAACAACTGATTTTCGACAAGGTTTCACTCATATAGAATAATCATTGTTTCAGATGAATTTTTAAAAGAATCAAACTTATCATTCACTCCTTCACAAGACTAATTTATGCATGACATTGACAAACCTTACATTATGATCATATATAACCTTCATAACTATTAAAGCTGGATAATAAATCACCGTAAACTTGTAAATTTAGGTAGATAACTCTCCTGCTATCAGTTATAAAACCAGAAAAATGTTAGGAGAGTGAGAGGGGATGTACATTTGTTGTTAATACTGAGAATTTTAGAGAAGTGCTAATAAGATTTTAAGGCATTCAACTATTCAAGAGCCAGATAAAAAATTTAGGGGACAATACTAAAACTTATTAAGGAAATAATAGAACATACGCGCAAAATACATATAACCTTGAATAGTTGAATGCCTTAAAATAAATTTCCCACGAGAAGGGGTGGGGGTGGGAACCTTAAACGTTATAACCTGGTTTTGATTTTGCTAATCATAATGATTTTTCAGTAAAATTTCTCTTAATTTTTTATTTGACAATGCTGTAATGCTTGTGATTTCTTCCTTTATTGATTTTTTGATTATTGTGCTTCCTCCTTCTAAACAAAGACAAGAATCCATAAAACCATCTTCAGTGAAATAAAGCTTGTTATTATTGGACAAAATCCATCATTAACATATCAGCAGTGAGCACTAGGCCGCTAGCAGATCACATAACTTAGTAGTGGATTATTAATTACCAAGTGTGATGTGCAGGGCAGTGAGGAAGAAGAGGAGGATGCGAGACTATTCAATAATAAGCATGGAGAGTGGTGTTCCTGTGGCACAGGCAGAGTCTCTGCCTCTCACGAGTCTAGTGACAGCATCAGCAGCACACACTCGTTTACTTTTCCCATGTAACAAGCTTCCTCCACTTCCTTTCTTCAAGTGCTTTAACTTGATCATAGCCAGGGCAAGAGTTTGACGATGGTCTGGGTGATGTTGTTGGTGACACAGATTACAGAGAGAATGGAGCGGAAGCCCTGTGAGGATGGCGGAAGCTGGCACAACCTCTCGATCCACAAGGCGTCCATGGCGCAGGATTTTTTGTTCCTTCTGCAAATGCTGATCCGTCATTCCTATCAAGTTTTGAATCTACAGCAAGTTGTATTCATGAATTTGATATTTTTTTCATAGGGTGCAAGAGGCTTGTCATATTGAGTTAGCTGCACCTCTGAACTCAAAATCGCTTGTTGAACTAAAACAATCCCTTGACCCGGATCCGGAATGTATCTTGCATTCCCCATCCCCGGGCATCGGGTCCCACCCTCTTTCTTACATCACCCCGCTTCGCGTCATTCTTCGTTGACGTGGCTGTCATCCCCATCCCCAGCTCCCATTCTTTTCTTTGCATTTCTATCAATAATCAAAGCCATCTAACGGAACCCAGAAAACCAAATTCCCACTCACAAAAACAATATCAAGGCCACGCGAGCCAACTTATATGAAGGCTACTTTGATTCCACTCTCACACCTCTTACACCTTTGCTCATATCTAACTCCATCACCCCCTCACGTTACAATAACCCAAAATAAAAACAGTAACAAAAATTACATATGGTGATTCGCTAATTCTAGGATTTCCTTCCTTGCTCCTCCGGTTTCCCGTCTCAGATTTTCCATTCTTCTATGGATTAAGTTTAAAATGAACAAGTGAAAGTGATAGATTGATTTCGGGATTCCCTTGAGTTTTTCAGCATTCAAGGTAGATGAAAAAGACCCGAATTGTCTTCGTTCCACTGATTGTGACTCCAGAAACCCTGATCAACGGTGTTAGCAACATCAAACAAACCTTGATGATCGGCGCTCCCTTGCCAATCCAACGGCCCAAGTTCTCCGTGCCCCATTATATTTTGCACCGTCTGCTCCGTCAACGATCCAGTCGCCGTCGTCATCATCTCCGGAAACTTCGAGTCCTGATGACGACTATCGCTCGCGTTCGTCCCTTCCTGCCACTGGCTGCGCAGCTGAAACGATGGAGCGTCGATTGTATTCCCATATCCAATTGCCAGGGTCTCGTTCGTGGGTGTGATCAAGCTCGTCAAGTTCTCTATCTCCGAGAAAATCCCGGATTCTCCTCCCTCTCCAGCGACGACTAGTTCCAAGCTAGGCTTCGAATTGGAACGGACGACGAGGCTGGAATCCTGAAGATTGTCAAACAAGTTATTGGACATGGAGTTGGATGAAGGAGCTGAAACCGCTTCTGCGGTGACGGCGGTACTAACACTGGATTTTTCACTGCTGGAATGAGAGTCCGACGTCTTACGCTCGCGCTCCGCTGGTGGTGCCGTTGTCACGGCGGCAGAGGAAGTTTCTGAGTAAGGGTTTTTGGGTTTGGAGCGCTTAGATTTCCGGGAACCGCCGCCGACAGGGACGTTGCGGAGGACGCCGCCTTTGGTCCAGTATCTACGGCAATTCTTGCAGAAATGGCGCGGCTGAGAGAGGTTGTAGTTGTTGTAGTAGCAGAACTTGGTGTTGAGGGAGTCGCACCTCGGGCACTTCAACGTCTGGTGGTTATGGTTGGCATTGTTGTGAGCGCTGGGGAGAGGTTTGAGCCTCCTGTCTACACCGCCACCTCCGGCGCCGAAAAATCTACCTCCTGCGATGGAATGCATTTCCGGCATTTCGCTCAAAACCAATCCTGGCTCCATGCGTGGGAACACGAACCACTCCAGAGTTACGATGTCAGAATCCAGGAATCGAGGGAAAACGATTTAAAAATTATTGCCTTGAAAGTTGGGAGGGTAAAGCTCAGGGCTGAATATCCGGGAAAATGTTGCTAATCCTGCCGACTGAGAAGAAAGGCAGGTTTTGTACCAGTGATATAGGAGTGTGAAGAACAGCACAAATCAGGCAGGGAGAGAGAGAACGAGGTTGGTTCCAAGGTCTGACAAATATCGCTCGCTCGATTCACTGTATGCTGATATAGTGATATCTTCTGTTTCCGATGGTATTAGCCTTGAAATGACCAGAACAACCCCGTAAAAAAGTAAAAATTACAGAGAAGCATTACGAAAGTACGAAAATACCCCTGACGGGTGAATGGGAACTGGGGACAAGTAACAGCAGCTAGAGTCATAGGAATTTTAGAGTTGACGAAGGGGTAGAGGGAGCCGTGGACTGAGGGGGACACGTGGACCAAGACCAAGGGAGGAGGAACACCATTCACAAAACCACGTGGTGACTTTGTCGGCCACCTCATATTTGTAATTTTTTTCGTTGAGAAATTAGTTTTTAAAATTATGATCAATTTTAATCAAATTCTTAAAAATAATGTCTCGATGATATGGCATGTTTAGTAATAGTAGGAACTCTGCCATTGGAGCGGGTCCAAAAATTTTAATTAGAGAGGATGAGATTACAAAATAAAAATAGTTATATATCAGAATTTTCAATAATTTGACAATTATAAAAATAAGCAACTTTTTTTATAAAAAATATCTCCAATGATATTTTAATTTTTGAATGAGTAATTTTATGATAAATATTAAATACATAACATTTAATGGATCTTGAAATTTTTGTTACCGCACTTAACAAAGTTTGCTAGTAACTCTTATGACTTCTTTCAACAAAATATAAAATATAAAATAAAAATAAAATTAAATAATATTAATATTTTAAGAATAATTAAATCATGTGATAACTATATCTTTAAAAATTGAAGTTGTTATATTATACATACATAAAAAAACTATATATATATATATATATATATAATTAAAATGAAAACACCGTCCAATGTATCTAAACCAGTGTAATGTGCTGACATAGCATATTCTTATCTAAATCTCTTCATTTTCAATTGAATTGTAATTTTAAATGCAAAAATATCTTATAATTTATGATTGTGCTTTCAAAAATAAAAAAACACAACATTAACAATCATATTCAAATTTTAAAAGAATTTGAATGTACATCAATTACTTCCTTACCTACAGCAACGCGAGGTGTTTATAATTGAAGAGCTAAGTAGCATATATAATATTTTAGGGAATTAAAAATATATAAACCCTACATTTTATTTAAAAAAATAAAAAAATTAAGGAGCCATAGTCGCTTATCCCCCATGTGCACCCGCCACTGGCCCTGCCTAGAATTAATTACGACTCTAATATTAATTCATTGGTGACAAAATTACTAGTGTCTCAACACACAATCAGAATTAGAAGGATAAAAAATATAACTTCTAATTCGTAAACTTGTTTTTAATCATAAATACCATTTCTAAACTTCAATTCAAAACAAGTCATTCTCTAAAAGAATTAAATATGAATTATTAAATCAATAAACTGCAAGAATTGAATTTTATTGACTTAAAATTCAAGAATTAAGTAGATTATTAAAATAAAATTTGAAAAGTTATATCATTTTATGAAAATCATATTTGACACAATAGTACAAAATCTAATAAAAGTCACGCTACTCATATAATTAGTAGGTAGGGAAGCTGTATAACTTGTAAACATGGATAATGCGGGTTGCATCAGATTGTTAACTTTAATTTATGTAATAGTATGCAGCAATGCTTTATAAATTTTTTAAAAAAACGAATGATTTTATATCAAAGTTTATGCAAATGCATTTGCCATTGCATTAATTCATGATCGATGACGGGGATGATGCGTGGTGCGAGAAAGTCACTGTCCAGTTAAGATGGCAACGAGAAGTGCATGCGCTTGGATTCAGTTTGTTGGACCTGTTTATAAAATTCTGCAATTTTTCTCAACCCCAAAAAACGGTATGTTTTTACGTATATGGCCAATCAGATTGCAATTTTGGGGCAGTACGCGTCGTCAACATTTCAAGGAGGATTGAGGAGCGGAAAACTCCAAAAGAACAAATTTGAATATCGACCTCTGACTCAAATATTACATAATAACCAAGAATCCTGGCATATGACTAGGGATGGAATTTTTTTGAGTGAGTTTAAACACGACTACCAAACCCAAAAAAAGGTTCACAACATCATTTCATGTGTGTGTAATTACTCGACTGAATTATAACAAATTAAGAACATAAGGGAAAACACACACACACACACGAGGGAAAAATTCAATTTAGATCCCTTTATCAAATATAAAGGAAAAAAAAAAACCTCTTAAATTTGAAAATTTCATTGCAAATTAAAGTTCGTAAAATGAAATTAAAATACAAACAAAAATTACCTAATTGTTCTTAGTAGATTGAGTTTGTTAAAAGACACTTGCAAATTTTTTGATATTGAAATTGTTCATTTTTTATGTTGAAGTGGTTAATTTTTTTATCAAGATTATTTGTGCACATAATTTCACTTGATTTTATTCTTAATGTTATTATCATGGTAAAAAGAGTTGTTACTTCCTTACACTATAGCTGTTTATTTTCTATAGTGAAATGATTATTTTTTTTATAGGAGTCATTTAGGTGAATAACTTCACTTAATTTTCTTTCTTAGTGTTATTGTTGTGGTAAAAATAATTGTAAATTTATCATACTAGAATGGTTAATTTTTTTAGAAAAGTTGTTGATACACATAGCTTCACTTGTTTTTATTCAAATTGTTATTATCGTAGCAAATGAAGTTGCACATTCCCCGTGCTAAAATTGATCATTTCCTATACTAAAATAGTGACATGGTTAATTTTTTTAATAGAATTGTTTATTGTATAGTTTCACTCAATTTTATTCATAGTGTTGTTATTATGATAAAAAAGTTGCAAATGTCTCATACTATAGTTGTTTATTGCTTATATCAAAGTAATTATTTTTTCTATAGAAATTGTTTGTGCACATATAGGGATAGATTGATAGAATCAAAGGATTAATTTTATCATTTTCTTTACCATTTTAATTTAATTTCACTATTCTTGATTTTCCGTGAAATTTTAGAGTTTAAGGGATATTTAGGGAAAATAGTAATAAATGACCAGTAAAAAAAAGTTTATATCAATTAAGAACTAATTATCAAAATTTGAATAGAAAGAAACTTGAATGAACTATTGTCAATTTAGAATATACTATTGTTGAAATTTAAATAAATATTCATTGATAAAAGACTAATCTAAATCAACCGGTATCCATTTGAATTTTGATAACAAGCAATCATTGATTGATATAAATTTTCTTCAACAGTCTTTAGTTGATATTTTCTTGGATATTTTTTTCATTATGTTTGGTCAATAGTTTAAATTAAAATACACACATATAACTTACTAAATTTCCTATATTTAATATTTTAGATCAGATGAAGATTATTAAAAAAAATCCTATGCTGTGATTAGTATTGGGCAAACAGGTTAAGAGCCAACTAGCGGGCTAGCTCGCGTGGGCTAGTATTTTTGCAGGTTGGGTTGGGCTAGCCCGTCAGATAAAACGGGCTAAAAAATTCAACCCAACTCATTTTCTAGCGGGCTAGCCAACCTACAGGCTGGCTCGCAAAAAATTATTAATTTTTTTAATAATTTAAAATTTTATATAATATAAACATATATATTTCATATTTTAAAAAAATAGCAATTAAAAAATTATAAATAAATAAAATAAATATAGAATTCAACTAAGAAAATTTATTTTGCTAGATTTTTACTATCAATCACCTTCTCGCCTAGGTGTACTATCTTGATCACTAAGAAAAAAATTTAAATATAAACCCATATTATTTTTTTTCAGTAAATTCATATTTATAATTTCAATTAATAGATCTTATGAGATTAATAAATAATATATATTCAAAACATTTTTATAAAAACTAATAAATCATCTTCACAAACTATAACAAAAATTTTATTTGCAAATTATAAAAAAAATTTACACTATATTTTAAATGTAAAGAATATATTTAAAAGTCATAAATTATATATTTAAAAAATATTATTATTATTGTAAATTTATAAAAAGATATAATAAAATTAAAAAATAAAAAATTATTTTTTAAAAAAATATGCTAACTTGCAGGTCAGCCTGTTTAGTCTGTTTTTTTACAAGTTGGATTAACCTAATCCATTTTAAAAAATAAATTAATTTTTTTAACCTAATTTATTAAATTATATTGATTAAATGAGTTAGTCTTGCGAGCTCAATTTGTATTTTTTTGGCTCTAGCTGTGATTGAGTGAGTGAAGAATAGTAGACAATTATGGAGTAGGGGAGTTGGGCAGGGCAGAATGTGGATGGACAGGAACATCCCAAGAGGGTGAAAACAACACCACGCCACGGAGGTTGATTGGTTGATGCAAACATCTTCACGTGCTCCCCGGGACGCTGCTGCTGAGACCCTGGTTTTGGGACAAGGTGGGGGTGACGTCACTATCCCACTCCTGAGCCACCAACAAGGGGCCTGGGCCCTACCTGCCCCACTCACGACTGCTCAGCGCTCGCCTGAGTTTCACTTTTACCGTGGGTAATCCCAATCGACAAGATTAGGAATGTTCACTGCCCGTGGGTTTGGGTGTCATGCATGTGTGGGCCTCGTGCTCCCCCAAACCCTAGTACCTGCACTATTGGTCAAATTTGGAGCTTTTCCCATTCATTTACAATGGGCCCTCCCATCCTCGCTTTCTTTCTTGCCTTTTCATAAAATTAGACCGTCAAAATTCCCATTCATTACTACACTCTAGTTGAAAAATAAAAGGAATAAATCACGTTGAGATCTTCTACCATATAATTAAATAGCATAAGTTTGTTGGAAAATTGAGCATAACAAAACGACAACATTTTACTTCCCCAATTTTATTTATAAGATAAAGAAAAAATATTTATTTTTATATTATTCATAAGTCACCTAAATAATTATTATGTCTATCAATACCTCTTTGCCCTTATTAAATTTTGAAAATTTATTAAATATTAGAGTATTTTGTTTTTAAAGTAGGTATATTTAATATGAATAAAATTAAAAATTTATTAAATTTTTAGACATAGTTAATAAGATTTT